TGCATCCACAGATGCATTTCAAGCAGGACCAAGGAGGTGATCCTCCCCCTCTATGCGGCACTGGTCAGGCCGCAGCTGGAGTACTGCGTCCAGTTCTGGGAGCCGCACTTTAAGAGGGATGTGGACAGCATTGAGAGGGTCCAGAGGAGGGCCACTTGCATGATCAAGGGACAGCAGGGCAGGTCCTATGAGGAAAGGTTACAGGACCTGAACCTGTTCAGCCTCCAGAAGAGAAGGCTGAGGGGGGATCTTGTGGCCTGCTATAAACTAGTCAGGGGGGATCAACAGGCACTGGGGGAGTCCCTGTTCCCCCGAGCGCCGCCAGGAGTGACCAGGAATAACGGTCACAAGCTGGCGGAGGGAAGGTTTAAGTTGGACATCAGGAGGCGCTACTTCACGGTCAGGGCGGCTAGGGTCTGGAACCAGCTTCCAAGTGAGGTGGTGCAGGCTCCCACCCTGGGGGGTTTTAAGAGGAGGTTAGATGACCATCTTGCTGGGGTCGTTTGACCCCCAGTACTCTTTCCTGCCATGGCAGGGGGTCGGACTAGATGATCTGCCCAGGTCCCTTCCGACCTTAGAAACTATGAATTATCTAAACAAATACAGAAAAACACTTAGTCTAATCTTTATAGGGCCTTCAGCAAGCACCTTTATCACACAAACATAATTTCAGCTGTCACAGCTGCAGCAGGAAGCAAAGTGGGGGGAGCTGTCAGTGGGTGCAGGGCATGGGGAGGGGTGCGGCTCTTGCTGCTACACATCCCCCAGGAGGGCTGTGGCCTGGGGGGCTGTACTTAGCTCTTCCTGGGGGGTGTATGCCCCTGGATCTTCTTTCAGGACAAGAGCAGGCTGCCAGTGACACCGGACTCTACCCAGTGGTCAGGGTGGGCGGCAGCCTGCTCTTGTCCCACATGCAGATCCGGGGGCATGGGCCCCCTGGGAAGAGCCCAGCATGGCTTCGCAGGCCTCTCAGGGGACATGTAGCAGCAAGAGCTGTGCCCCCTGACCCCGCACCGCCCACCCACTGACAGCTCCCCCCACTTTTCTCCCTGCTGCAGCCCTGGGAGCGGCTGATGACCTGCACCGCACCTGCCCCTTCATTAGTCTCAGCCTTACTCCAGTCCTTCCCTCCCTCACTGTCACGGGAACGTATTATTCTTTCCCCTGATTTAAACCGAATTTTTTTTCCTTTTCTTCCTTTTATCCTAATTTCAACCTGGTTTTTATGTTTGGAAGATAAACCCTGAAAAATTCCCGGAATTTTTTTTTTTAAAATAAAAACTGAAAATGCAGAACACTAAGCACTCCTAAACAAATAGATGGCACTGTGGCTGAAAATTTTTCAAAATACTTTCCTCTACCCAGCATTGTCATCTCTTACTCGGATTCAATGCCAGCTCCTCTTAATCCAGGAGGTGTTCTCCTGAGCCACCTGGATGGCATGCCATCAGCATTTAGGTAAAGAGTAGGTAGATATGTATGTCATCTCATTATTATTGGCACTTGAGTATATCTCATTGGAACAGTTTCCTCAATGACTGCGTAATGATGCTAAATAGGACCAGAAAGAGAATCATTCCTTACTGACTTCAGAAGAGAAATATCTAGCAATGTAGATGCAGTTTTCCATCATTAATTGGTGGCTGTCTCCCACCAATAAAAAGGCAAACAATTTGAATGGATTACTCTAGCTCTTGCCACCTCTCTTTCAGTAGTATTTCATGGTTGATAATGTCAAGTGACTGGGAAAAGCTCAAAAGATAATTGTCTTGCTTATGAAAATCATTTATTTATAAGCTGTGTGGACACAGACCTGTGCACATGAAGTTTTCTACAACAAAGGCAGGGTTCATTTTAAGTGGGATTGATTGCACTTCCTATTGCTAAGATTTCCTGACACTTCCTATTGTGAGACAGTATTCTCAATTATTTTCTCTCTGATAGTCTTTACCATTTGGGCTGAAATGTTTATGATGATGATATATGTTTTAATTTGTTGGAGTAAATTCACTCATCCAGGAGAGTTTAGACTCTGCTTAATGCCTTAGGAGGGGAACACAGACTTCTTGGAGATATACATTTTAAAGTCAGCTTTAGAAAGCAGCAGTTCATTTTCCTGACTAAGGAAAAGGTGGGAGGAAGATAATATGAGAGGTAATTAATGTTTTGGTAGTAAAAGGAGGACAGGAGAACAAAGCCCTGAGCTGTGTACTAATTCTGTTTGGCAGGTGGTTCAGCTGGAAGAACTTCTGTCAGTGCGTCACTCGGTATTCGTGGTGGGAAATGCAGGCACAGGAAAGAGCAAGGTACAGTAATGGCACATTTGCTTCCTTACCCTGTAAAGAATATTTTCTGAGTTCAGTGTTTTCTTTACTTCAGACAGGGACATAAAACCACATTGACTGGGCATTCCCATCAAGGAATTGAAAGTGCAATGAACATACTTCCTATGTTAAAATATAGATGTATCCCCTTACATGTTACTCCCATGACCTGACATGAAAATAATCACAGCACTGAACAGCAAATGTTTATATTTGACAAGTAGTTCTGAATATATTTGTGTTTTGAGACGTGCAGTGGGATAGCATAATTATGCTCCTCAGAAGAAAGGGTAGAATCTACGTTTCTTCAGCTCCCACTTTGGAAATCAGGAAATGTACATTTTTAAAAGATTATACTTTCAAAATTTCTGCTTCTAAATTTTGTCAACCATTATGTAACACCATGTTCAACATTTTTCAATAAGAAATTTTTGGTAATATTTGGCATTGTTTTTCAGGAGGAAATGCCATGCTTTTCAGTAAGAAATTAAGACAGACTGCATGCCCTAGTTGTCACCATCAGCTGCTGTCCCCATATACTCATGAGGATCTGCAGCCTGATGACATGCAGTGATATCTCCAGGTTGACTTTGGGTGTGCTTCTTTTCAGTCACATCTCCAACAAAGATGGAAATGTAATCAGATTTCTTTAAGTGCTAGTTCAGAGGTTTAACTACAAGTTCATTCTCCTCAAAATCTTACAGCAGATGCTCCTTTTGACTGTTTACTACAGTGCAATTTTAGCAGGGATTGTCAGAATAGGATTCCCACTGGCCACACTGCAGGAGTAAAGTTGGGGAGGAAGGGGGAGACAGAGGAAGAGGAAATCATGTTCTACTGGCTGGGACTGGGTGTACGGATTTGCACTCCGAGAGTGTTTTGTCTGTTTAAAAAAAAACAGTAAAGAAAGCAAAGCTTTTTGTTCTGATTGAAGTTCAGGGACTAATTTACTGCTTAGTTCTTTCTCTTTCTCCCCTTCAGGTTCTAAGAACTCTGAACCAAACGTATATGAATATGAAACAAAAGCCTATTTGGAATGACTTAAACCCAAAAGCTGTCACCACTGATGAGCTATTTGGTTTTATACATCATGCTACTCGAGAATGGAAAGATGGCAAGTCACAGATGATGTTACTTTCCGTCCTAAGATGTGTTTATTTCTCTACCACGGAAACCCCAAAGCATCGCTAATTGTAGGGGGAGAGGGCATAGACCTCAGCTCTACGAATATTTTGTACAATGAGATTTGGGTGCAAGGCACTGCTGAGCTTGGACAGAGTAGAGTGATGTTCTCCTGTATGGATCTTCTGGCCAGTTCCAGGGCAGAACAGAGGAGCTGAAGGAGAGGAAGTCACCAAACCTGAGCACTGCTGGAGTGGTCAGCAGCCTTAAAGAGGAGATTGCTTTTTCCACAGCCTTCCTAAAGCCTCATGCACATAGCACATGTAGTTAGGATTGATGTATTGGAAAGGATGTTATGTTCAAAAAATATTATCATGAAGTCAAAACAGAAATTGGTCATTACTACTATAATCCATTTTTTTTTTTGCTATATCAAGTACTCACTGAACATATGTCCGCTTTAATTTGAACAGCCACTTAATAAGTCACCAGAAGGATGACCATGTTTGCAATGTTACAAAACTGGTTGTGTTTTTAATAATGCATTAATTTTTCAGGAGCCTTATTTGTTCCACAGTGTTGTTTGTCATTGAGGCACCAAATTCATTAGATTTTATTTAAACTTAATTTGAAGGTCTCTTATCATCTCTTCTGAGAGAGCAGGCTAGTATCACTCATGGTGGACCAAAATGGATTGTCTTAGATGGGGACATAGATCCTATGTGGATTGAGTCACTCAACACTGTTATGGATGATAACAAGGTGAGCAAAAGAAAAACTCTCACAGTGGTTTTTCTTCATCAGGCTATTCATGTTTTCTTCATGATTTTATATTTTTTTCCATTGTAGCCTTTCAGTGTTTTCCTGTCATTCCTGGCTTTTCTTCCCTGTCCCCTTTTGTCTTCTGTATGGCTGATTCATGTGGTTAGCTTGGTAACAGCCTTATCTCTTCCTTACACAATCCGGTATCATAGAGATGTTTTAAAGTCATTCTGTTTACAGTGTAAGTCTACATATGCCTCCAGTGTATGTACAGAGGGAGTTAAAAATGCATGCTGAGGTAAGGCTCTGAATGGCAGTTATAGTATTTTTTTCCTGGTTTCTTAATCATTGGAGCACATAGAATATCTTTTAATTCAAAAGTCTTCATCAGTAATGTATAAGCATTCAGAAACTAAGCCTTACACTACTGCTTTAAGGAAAGTTATCAATCTAACATTTGTCTTAGATAAGGAAAACTGCCATGCCAAGAATTTCTGATTTTTCTGATTCAGTCATTAATAAACCCAGGAATAAGACCCAGACTTCTCACAGTCCTGTACTTTAATCACATGATTATTATAGTACAGCCTTCCTATGACAGTACCTAAATTGAGAAAATATTATCCATAGAGTAAAGTATCATAAATGTATATTTTCATATGCTTTAAAATAAAAGTTTTGGCCTTATAGCTTAGAAGAACTGTCGTATTCAAATATATTCAGAGGACTCTGTGTTTGGCGGGGGCGGGGGGGGGGTTGCGGTATAAATAATCCTTAAATCTAATAAGTCTATAAACTCCAGGCCTATTCTTGATACATGCTTCTTAGAATGTATGCCTTAAATTGCATTTTTTGCCAATGTGTTTAGGTCCTGACCCTTGCCAACAATGAACGTGTCCCTCTGACTCAACCCATGCGACTTCTTTTTGAGATACACCATTTAAGAACAGCTACCCCAGCCACTGTGTCTAGAGCTGGGATCCTTTATGTAAACCCCCAAGACCTTGGTTGGAATCCGTGAGTACTTAATCTGTTAAAAGATACATTACAAAATTTAATATGTCAACCGTATCAGTTATTTTATTAGGAAAATAAACCATTCATTTTACTCCATGGTCAGCTGGTGGGTCGTTTTTGCCTTCCTTTGTAGCGGGGGGACATGGTCTTCTTCCCTGGATCTCTTGAGTATATTTTAACAATCTTACAGCAGCAGGATGTTGGCTACTGGTCCCCTTTCTTCTTTGCTTATGGCAGTCTGGGATGCTATGTCTTGTGGTTGTTGTGATAGGGTTGACTGCCAGCATTCCCTCTAAGCTGTGCGGTGTGCGTGGCCATGCAGGCATGATCATGCCGTGCTCATGCAGCACTGCCAGGCATGGCCACACACACCGCACAGCTTAGAGGGAATGCTGTTGACTGTGTAGTTTTGCTAATAGGTTAAACGGTGGATTTGTATAGGATGGTTTGGATAGGGATGATCCTGCTTCAAGCAGAGGGTTAGACTAGATGATCTCTGGAGGTCCCTTCTAGCCCTACTTCTCTCTGATTCTGAGACTGGAAGGGATATCATGTAGTCCAACCCTCTGCTCAAGGCAGGGTCATCCCTAACTAAAGCATCCCAGTCAAGTGTCTGTATAACTTTCTCTTAAACTTTTCCAAGGATGGAGATTTCACAACTTCTCCGACTAGCCTGTTCCAGTGCTTAGGCGCCATCATAGCCAGAAAGGTCATCATAATTGCCATTGTAAATTTCCCTTGTTGCAGTTTGAGGCCATCGCTTTCATAGATTCATAGATGTTAGGGTCGGAAGTAACCTCAATAGATCATCGAGTCCGACCCCCTGCATAGGCAGGAAAGAGGGCTGGGTCTAGATGACCCCAGGTAGATTCATATCCAAA